ACAAGATGGTATGTTCCTCTTTCACACCTTGTTCCAGGGTTTTCAAATTTTAGGCCTGCGAAATGGGAGGTCCAGCCGACAAAAATTGACCAAACCGACAACTATCTCTAACTTTATCTTCCCTTGGGAGAAATCAATCAATGATGTACCCTCTACTTACACATGACCTCTTCTGAACATTATCGTGTGGAGATTCAGGAGAGCAGCGTCATGGAATGATAAGAAGGTCACACGCTAGTGATCGCGAAGGAAGTTTCCCGCCGGAGGTCAAGAGGACCAGAAGTTCCCTATAAAAGGCAGATGCGTCTTCAGAAGTCGTCTTCCTCTGGTCTCCGGCGGTGCGGGCATCGGGCCCGCCAGAAGTCTTCTTCAGGAACTTCCACCTCCCAGACGACTACTCCAGCAGCCGCCGTTCGCCCTATTCAAGGATCCCCCTCAACTGGACGACTTCTACTCGTCTACCTCCCTTTATTCACACAACGACGTTCTTCATTTCAGTTATTTTTGTTTCTAATAAACTCTGTTCTTCTCGGTGTTCGCTTCAGACACACGTGGAGATAATCGGGTCTCATACACTACATGGGGGCCAAGCCATTCCACACAAACGTCTGAAGTGAACGCTGCTCTCATCTCTATCTCGTCGTACATTCGCCGAATAGTGAGAAAGGCGCATTGACCGTGAATCCGCCGAATAGTGAGAAAGGCGTGTGATTCGTGCACAAAGTGGTTCAACAGAGGAAAAAAATGGATGATTGCAGAAATACAGTTGAAGCTGTTGTGCGAGGCCTAGAGATAGCCAGGCAGATGGATCAGATGGATCAGGACAAGGAAAACACCCAAGGCTCCGAGGTGAGTTGCAATGGGAAGGAATTAGTGACCCTATTGAGGGGTGAGATCAAAAAAGCCATTGAGTCGATAAGGGGCCTAGGTCCAAAGATCAAAGACGATCTGGAAGAGGCACGAATAGCCCCGAAATATAGATCAGTCATAGATAAGTCAATAGAACAGCAGGTCAAGAAAGCGTGTGAGACGCTGGGGACGCTAGAAAGTAGCGCAAAATCTTACCTCACTTTTGGCAAAGAGCTAATGGAGTCCTTGCAAAAGAGGGGAATCGAAACATTAGAGGACTGGGACGACTTTTTGGGAGTCGTTGACAGAGATGGGAGTTTACTAGCAGAGATCTGCAGTATGCTAGACACAAATGTGTTACAGGTGCGAGATGTGGTCGGAGAGATCCAGAAGCTCCAAGAAAAACAAGCAAAGGATATGATGAGGAATCAAGACGAAATGTCTGATGAAGATATGGATGGTATGGAGATTAATCATAAAAGACGTAAAGCGTATGAATTGCCAAACAATGATGAAAACCGACGATTGCAGATGACGACACAAGTGTCCGAGCGGAATCACGATCCAGCGCCGACTGGAGCAGCCTACGGGCAGCACTTGAGACCGCATTTGGATCGTTGGGAAACAGCGGCGGAGCAAACCGCAACAGGTGCGAATTACATGGAAGGCTTTCTAAAATTCTTACAAGCAAGTAGTTGCGTTGACCCTGGTGTGTTTCGGGGGAAACCAAACGAAAACTTCAAAGAATTCCTACGAAGGTTCCGAAGGAAATATGGACCGTTAGGATACGGTGATAGGACATTATTAGAAATTCTGGAAGACGACCACTTGGGCGAAAAGGCCAAAAATGTATTCTTGGCAATCCACACAAGAGAAGTTAGAGGAAGGGTTCGAAGCGGTAGTAAAAGAATTGGAAAGGCTTCTTTCGAGCGACTCAACTGCGGCTAGAATGAGAGCTCTAAATGAGCTAAGGAACTTGAAATTGAGGCCAAATCAGTCCATCTCTTCGAAGTTCTGCGTGGTGTTAGAGAAATTGGCTCGTGAAGCGAACCCTAACAGTAGTGTTACAGAAAGATCGCTTAGAGTACGCGCAGATACTGTTGGATAACGTGAGAGAGTGGCCGGAACACGTGCAGTTATTGAGAGTCTCCTGCATAGATCAGACCCGGTAACGCGTATAACGAGATCAAACAATTAGCGATCACTATAGAGCAAGCAAGGACAATGTATGGGACACCCCGAAAGAGCACGCCGACAGGTACGGAGTGGAAAAGGAGGGCACAAGCGTACAAAAGCCATAGGGAAAGTGATCGGTTCGGGTCTGAACCTGAAGAACCCCATTTGGGTCATGAGGACGAACAGAAAGGAGACGTAGAGACCCGCAAGTGTTTCAACTGTTCAAAACTAGGACATATTGCTCGGAACTGTGCCCGCTAGGAAGACCACTGTCAATGTTGTGAGAGAAGAACGAACAAAAACAAAGAGAAACAAGGAGAAAACACGGATATCCGATCTGGTGCGAGAAGCCCGATCGATGGGAATGGTAGTAGAAAAGTGTTCTGCTACAAGTAACCTAGTCGGACGGAAGTTGACAGCATGGGTAAGTGCGCTGAATGAAAGAGTTCCTGCGCTGATCGACACAGGATCGATGGTGAGCATCGTGTCAATAGGACTCTTGGCTAAAGCGCAGGATAATGGATTTGACGTTGATTCGCTAAGGGTAATTGATCGGGAAGCGCTCAATCCCGTTTTCGATGCCTCCGGCAGCCGAATGCAATTCTTAGGTGGAGTTGTCATAGTGGTAAAAATTGACGGAGGGACAGAATCTGAAATTGCCTTCTACATTTCGAAAGAGAAAGGACAGAAAATACTACTTGGAACGAATGCACTGCAAAAATTAGGGGTTCAGATCAAGTTGCCAATACCAGTCCCGGTTGCCACACGAAGGACAAGTGACACTGGCAGAGTTACCATAGCAAGGCGGAAGTACGTAGCGCCGCTCACCTCGTCCCTACTACAAACACGGTGTGAAGGGGAAGAGGACTCTGTAGAGCGTGGTGCATGGCCAGTATCAGATGAAGTAGCTGCAGAAATGCCTAGGATAGAAAATAGTGATTGTGCCGGTACGGTAGTCAGGGAGAGATGCGAGTCAATAATAGAGAGAAAAGGCAAGAAAAGTGGGCAACGGAGTACTGAGAAATGGAAAGAAAGAAGGAAGAAAAGAGTAACGGTGGGAGAAAGAGATCCCAAACCAGGACAAAGGGCTAGAAAACAGAAAAAGGACGTACGGATTTCTTATAATAAGTACTCCAACCAAATTCCTAAGGACACTCGTAAAGAAACTCAAGACGGAGTGTTTGAGTGCAGTGATCAGGCAAGGGAAGACCTGCAAATCGCGCGTGACAAAAGGAAAAAAGTAAATCGGAAGAGCCTCCCAAAGTTGAGGGATAGAGTGAATTTGTTCTCAAATAGAGAAAAAACGTTAAGTTCACATACCAACTTAACAGGCGGATGGGCTGGACCCTGTCGTGGGACTGAGGCGGGGGATAACTCAGAAGTTATTACCCGAATAGGAGAAAACTCAGAAGCTATTAAAGTTCAGTACGATATGCCAAGAATAGAGCCGAAGCAAATATCTGGTGAAAGGAGTTGACACGAATACTATTAGAGGAAAAAGAGGCAGAAAGCCAAAAGTGAAGGTGAACAAATTAAACTGTTCTAATTTCAGAGGAGCGGTGATCGAGTCAAGTGAATGCAAAGGACATTTGCAATATAAGTGCAAGGACGGATGCCTGGAAGAAGCTTGTTTCGGAGACCTGAAGGACATCGTATTTCCAGGAGCGTTTGCGAAGGAACCGCTAGGCTCACTTTGGAGGGCATGGATCGCCGCTAGCATTTTCATCAGAAGCGACATGAACACGGCCGAGAAAATAAGGG